GATTACTCAGTGGGAATTTTCCTGTTAATACTCGTCTCTTACGAAATCTCCCAGTACGACAGAACTAGACTGAAGCTAGCAGCCAATAACAGCAGCCATTAAGCCCGTAGAAGCTAGCAGCCAACAAGTTTGGCTTTCCAGAAAGCCTGAAATGTCATCTCTTTGGCTTCATTAATGTCACAGAATAAACAGTGGAATGTTATATTATTTTCTCAGCTATTACAGGCAGTAGTATCGCTTTTGAAAAAATGGGGGGGGGGGGTGAAGGACAAAAAAAAAAAAAAAAAAAAAAATCGACGATTTATCTGAACAATCTTTGACAAGGGAAAAAAGGGGCTATCCAAACTCAACATTTTCATTTCTTGGAAGGGAAGGAGGGATAACAACTTTTCCGACAAACGTATTTTAAATTATAATACATTCTCATTTGATGATTTGACGTACCATACTGCAACAAAAGGTGGAAGAGGGGTCAAGGGTGCGCCTCTTCAATGTTTGGTGCTATGTGCCTGTATTATTTTACCTGTTGTAAATATGCTTTATTCAGTTTAAATATATTTTGTATAATGTCTGAAAAAAATTCTAACCACTGAATCAAGCACGTTTCAAGGCTATTAGAAATTTAAAACAAAAACCGATTTATTTGCCGATTCAGATTTTAATTAACAGACACAGGTTTGTTTGTTTTTTTTAATCAGTCGAACTATGGAAACATGAGGTTATTCAAGTTCAAAATCGGTGAAAAATTTAATTAATAACATATATCATGTTTAGTTACACCCAATCTCGTATTTTTATTTTTTAGCTCAGATACGCCATATATAGCTTTAACAATTATTCCGAAAGAGAAGATGGATAAAAACTTAGCGTTCCTTTTGACTTTAGATCTTAGCCGCCTACTACGGCAGCAAAGAAGTTTTAAAGCGCCAACTTAAATTAATCTGAATCTGAATTAATTCTCAAGACTTTCCTTATTTTCCTCAATCGTATCCTCTGAAGTGACTTGGCCATCGAGCCACTGGGATTTGATTGATTATCGAGCCACTTTGAATATCAAGGGAAAAATTGAGACACTCATCATGCCCCTCTGCTGCCCATGCAGATTCATGTTCTATCGCTATATTATGTATAATATAAGTACATGTACATGTATACGCTCCTGGGAAAAAATCATGCATAGAAAGCATAGAAAGGTAATAAAATTAAAACGTTACCATTTAAAATTAAGTATTAACACACCGAAAAGAACCCTAATCTACCAACATTGATTTTATATGCTGTTCCATGAGACACACATTTAAAATTTAAAGTTTTGGCTTTATTTCAAGAATACGAGGAATGATTTTTTTTTTTTACCTTTTCTCGTTGACAAAAAAAGCAAATTAGAATTGCATAAAGAAAATTATAACAGTTGCTTTCTTTATTAATTCTTAAATTCTGGGCCAGGTAAAGAAAACTATTTATACTTTTCTTATACTTTTTTACAGGGGTAAATTTAAATAAAAAAGAATAAAGTGCACACATCCGAGAATTAAAATACTCATATAATGATTCTTTATGATCTTTATTCCAATGCCTGCAGCACTGAGTTACTTAAACCAGAGACATTTATGTTTCTGCCTAAATTGTGCTTTTAGGTAAAATTTCTTTTCTTCGAAATTTATTTATTTATTTTGAATAAGTTCTGTTTTATTTTTCATATATATATATATAGGGCATTAATTATCGATTGACTAAAGTGCACATAAAAGTAAAGTTTTTGCCATTGTATATATGCATTTAATGTGAGTTGTTATTTATATGTTTTCACTGTTTTCTTTCGTCAGTAAATCTTGGATCCACGCCTTGGCTTATACATTCAATATGCCATGTTTTGTGTATATTGATCCCTGCGCGCTGACCATCGTTTTACGCAATAGCCTAGATACAATGTTTATGTGTATAAACCGTTAATGAAGACCCACCACCACCCAAGTGATCCTACCTCTATTACTCTTAATGAACTCTGGTGTAGTTTTACTTTAAGATGGACCATTTTGTTTAATAATAATAAGACAGACTTTGGTCAATTTTGTTTACATCTCTATATTTAGAAATCGTGTCATCGTCAGTTCCTTTGCCAGACCACCAGCTTATCAATGGCAGCTTACACTAGGGCTTCACTTCCGGTGATTCAAACTTAATGTGTCATCTCCCGAGGGAGATGACAATAAGGAAATTCATCAAAGGACTGAGAGTACTCTGACGCAATACTGTTTAATGACTCATGTTCGACAATTTATAATTAATAATTAGATAATTAATGCAACACTTAATTATTTAATAATTCAAACACTTGTAGGCAGTTAAGCTCACCTGCATAAGGAAAATTATGCGGTTTCAAAACAAATAAACAAACAAACAAAATGTCACCATCTTTGACCGCTTAAGAACAAATCAACATTGGAAATAGGTTAAGTACTTCCGGGAGAATCCCTTTTAAGCTCTTTTACGGGTCTCAGGAACATGATGGTGCCAAAAGGCTAACCTGAAATTTGCTTACTCCTAATATTTATCTTGATAAAGGTTTGAAGGTTATTTAACTATTTTAAGTTATTATCCTTGAAGTGTGCTTCGAACAATTATTATCAAGGCTATTATATACGGCCATACAAATTAGAGTGAAGTGGTACCACCAAGTGGTGCCAAGGGCGGGTTACATATTTCAAGCAGCTATTATACCTCTTATCTTATAAGTGTGCTTAAAATCATTACTGTGGCAAGATAGAAGATTTCTAAGACTATCATTTCCCGCAATCGGTGTGAGGCTGTAACGGCACCACCAAGTGGTACCAACGGTGGGGAACATATTCCAAGCTTTCATTTTTCAACCATCAATGACCACTAGACCAAACTAACACTAAACTTGAAAAAAAATTAAGGGCCTTAGGGAGTATCCCTTGTCAACTTTTTGACAGGTTCCAATGAATAGAAAAGGCCAATTAGGCAACCTGAACTTTGTTGTTTTTCACTTTGTCAGCTGTTATACCCTTTATCTTTGAAGTGTGCTTCAAATCATTACTGGGGCAAGGTAGTGGGCCCCGAGGACTATCATTTCCCGTTATCAGAATGGGGCTGTAGTGGTACCACCAAGTGGTGCCATGGGTGGCGGACGTATTTTAAGCATTCATTTGGAAAGCATCTTTGGCAACTAGAACAAAGTAACACTAGTGATAGGTTCAGGAGCTTAGGGAGAACCACTTGCAAGGTTTTTGAAGGGTCCCGGGGAAGAAAAAGGGCCAGTTAGGTAACCTGAACTTTGTTATTTTTCACTTTTTTTTAATATACGGGTCAAGGTCAGCTATAATACCCCTTATCTTTGAAGTGTGCTTCAAATCATTACTGGGGCAAGGTAGAGGGCCCCTAGGACTATCATTTCCCGCTATCAGAATGGGGCTGTAGTGGTACCACCAAGTGGTGCCATGGGTGGGGGACGTATTTCAAGCATTCATTTTGAAAGTGTCTTTGGCAACTAGAACAAAGTAACACTAGCAAAAGGTTAAGGACCTTAAGGAGAACCAGTTGCCTGGTTTATGAAGTGTCCCGGGGAAGAAAAAGGACCAGAAAGCTAACCTGAACTTTGTTGTTTTTAACTTTGTGTTTTAATATACGGGTTAAGGGTCAGCTATAATACCCCTTATCTTTGAAGTGTGCTTCAAATCATTACTGGGACAAGGTAGAGGGCCCCTATCACTATCATTTCCCGCTATAAGAATAGGGCTGTAGTGGTACCACCAAGTGGTGCCACTGGTGGGGGACGTATTTCAAGCATTCATTTTGAAAGCATCTTTGGCTAATACAACAAAGTAACACTAGTGAAAGGTTAAGGACCTTACGTAGAACTACTTTCCTGGTTTTTGAAGAGTCCCTGGAAAAGGAAGGGGCCACTTAGCTAACCTGAACTTTGTTATTTTTCACTTTGTGTTTTAATATACGGGTCAAGGTCAGCTATAATACCCCTTATCTTTGAAGTGTGCTTCAAATCATTACTGGGGCAAGGTAGAGGGCCCCTAGGACTATCATTTCCCGCTATCAGAATGGGGCTGTAGTGGTACCACCAGGTGTTGCCATGGGTGGGGGAACGTATTTCAAGCATTCATTTTAAAAGGATCTTTGGCAACTAGAACAAAGTAACACTAGTGAAAGGTTAAGGACCTTAAGGAGAACCAGTTGCCTGGTTTATGAAGGGTCCTGGGGGAAGAAAAAGGGCCAGTAAGCTAACCTGAACTTTGTTATTTTTCACTTTGTGTTTTAATAAACTGGTCAAGGTCAGCTATTATACCCCTTATGTTTGAAGTGTGCTTCAAATCATTACTGGGGCAAGGTAGAGGGCCCCTAGAACCATCATTTCCCGCTATCAGAATGGGGCTGTAGTGGTACCACCAGGTGTTGCCATGGGTGGGGGAACGTATTTCAAGTAGGGATGTCAAAATAGTCAATAATTAATATTCGAATATTCGATAACAGTATTCGAATATATTCGAATATTCGATAAAAATTGATGTCATTTAACAATAAATAAGTTCTGATATACGCATTGCCCTGCCCATAGTACACACTTTGCTTCAGTGTTTGAAAGTTAAATCTAGACTTGTTTAGGGAGACACTGTACATTATATATATTTAATATCTGATGTTAATATGTTGACTGTTAAAACAGTCAAAGCACAAAAAATGGAAGTTTGATTGAAGCTCAAATACACTTGATGAACCGATCGTCTAAGCAAGCAACAAGAAAGATAACTCTTAGAGACGTAACACCTGTTTGAAACGGCGTATTGATCATAATTAGGCCTAGGCCATTCTCTTAACTAGTTTTCCAATCTAATGACTGTAATTATATTAGAATGCAAACGACAATTACGAGATAAACAAATAAACTATAGATCTATTATGAAATTGAACCCTTTAATCACAACAATACGGACTTGCTATATATACACACTTGAGTAATTAAATTGTCAAGTAAATTTATTCTTGTGTAGAAAGATTATTTTGTCAACAAGTTCACTGGAGAGTCTATTTCTAAGTTTTGTAATTATAAGTCCTGCCGAAGAAAAAAATCTTTCGGGTGGAACTGACGTCGCGGGTACACCAAGAAATTTCTTGGCGAGTTTAGAAAGAACGGGATATTTTTCTTCATTTTTGCGCCACCATAACAGGGGATCTTCATTTGGTTGGATACGATCGCTTAAGTAATTTTCTAGCTCATTCTCCCTCGTTGATTTTTCCTTTTCGGGCGAGAACTGAGTTAGATAGTCAATTCCGCTGGGCTTTCGAGCCCGCTTTGCCGGTGGTTGGGAATCATCGTTAGAAGAAGGAATCGAGTCTCTAAGAGGAATATCATCCATACGGGACTCTATTTCGCCCATGCAAACTTTCTTTTGTTCCTTAGATAGAAAGTTTAAAGCTTTGTACTTTGGATCCAGGAATGAAGCCAAAATAAGAATACTCTTCCCGATGTCCTCATCTGTTGGAGAATAGCGACGCTGTAGCTCACTGATTACACTCTCTCGCGCTTTGCGAATAATGGGGTTGTCTGAGTTGACAATAGAGTTTTTCCTAATAAGACCACAAACAATTGGGTAGATGTGTGAAAGAGATACGTGAGATTCGGTAGACATAAATGTTGTTACTTCTGAGAAATCTTTAAAGAATACGGATAATTGATCTAGAAGATCCCACTCGTGGTCCTTTAGTAGGAGACTGGCATGATCTTTTTTAGTGATTTTTTCGTCTAACATTATGTCATTAAGAACCCGGCGTTGTTCACAGAGACGTTCGATCATGGAATGTGAAGAGTTCCACCTAGTAGGCACATCTTGGATTAAATCATGCTTTGGGACTCCAAGAAGACTTTGCCTCTTCTGTAGTTCTGCTGTCATGGAAGTAGAATGCTTAAAATGACCTACAAGTTTCCGACACTTTGAAAGAATTTTGGCCACATTCTGTATTTCAAGGGCGGGTTTTATACATAGCTGTAAAGTATGACCAAAACAAGAAATGTCCTCCCATTCCGGGCTTAAAATACCTGCCTTTTCCATATTTCGGGCATTGTCATGCACACAAACGTCAATTTTGCTTAACAATCCAAAATCTTTTAAAATTTCTTTAATTTTAGATGCTATGTTAACGGCCGTGTGGCTCTCTGGCATCGAGCATGTACTTAGCACACTGGTTTCAATTTCCCAGTCTTTTGTTATATGGTGTTCGGTGATAGTAAGATAGCTTTCTGTGGCTCTAGATGTCCAAGTATCCGTCGTAATAGATACAGATTTAACATCTTTCAAATATTCTAGAAAGGATTTCATTTTGTTGTTATACATATTTTCAATTCTAGATTTTATTGTATTCCGAGACGGGATTTTATACCCTGGAAGGGCTAAAGTCATAAGTTCGGAAAACCCTTCTCCAGATACTATACTTAGTGGCAAATAATCCTGAACAATCATATTGGAAATCGCAGCTGTAATTTTTTCCGATTGTCCTGAACCCATTTTCTTCGGCGAGCACATGAAAGTTCCCATGGTAGTCTGAGAAAATGAGCTGGAAGAGCTGTTATGTAATTCCTGATTTTGACAACTTGGGTGTTTATTTTTTAGATGATTTAACATGTTCGAAGTAGTTCCACAATAATTCAAAGTTGTTTCGCACAACGAACACTGAACTGAATCTCCATTATTTTCCTTCTTGAAAAACCGCCAGACATTTGACTTGGGAGGCATGACTGATCTTATAAAACACCGAACTCAAAATGAAAAGATTCACTCTACTAAGAACGTAGTGAATAATACTTATGAAACAATTTAAACCGGCGGATCTAAATTAATAGCAAGTAAATAAGAGAGATAACCCCTGTACCTTTACCTTGAAATTCTCCAGAGTTACCTCTCTTTTTGATTCATATTGTGATATAGCCGAATATTCGAATCTTAATTTCATATTCGAATATCAACTCATCGAATGAATATTCGAATATTCGTTGACATCCCTAATTTCAAGCATTCATTTTGAAAGCATCTTTGACTACTAGAACAAAGTAACACTCGTGAAAGGTTAAGGACCTTAAGGAGAACCAGTTGCCTGGTTTATGAAGGGTCCCGGGGAAGAAAAAAGGACCAGAAAGCTAACCTGAACTTTGTTGTTTTTAACTTTGTGTTTTGATATACTGGTCAAGGTCAGCTATAATACCCTTAATCTTTGAAGTGTGCTTCAAATCATTACTGGGGCAAGGTAGAGGGTCCCTATCACTATCATATCCCGCTATCAGAATGGGGCTGTAGTGGTACCACCAAGTGGTGCCACTGGTGGTGGACATATTTCAAGCATTCATTTTGAAAGCATCTTTGGCAACTTGAACAAAGTAACACTAGTAAAAGGTTAAGGACCTTAAGGAGAAGCAATCGCCTTGTTTTCAAAAGGTCCCTGCGAAAGGAAGGGGCCAGTTAGGTAACCTGAACTTTGTTATTTTTCACTTTTTTTTTAATATACTGGTCAAGGTCAGCTATTATACACCTTATCTTTGAAGTGTGCTTCAAATCATTACTGGGGCAAGGTAGAGGGCCCCTAGGACTATCATTTCCCGCTATCAGAATGGGGCTGTAGTGGTACCACCAAGTGGTGGGTGGGGGGACGTATTTCAAGCATTCATTTTGAAAGCGTCTTTGGCAACTAGAAAAAAGTAACACTAGCAAAAGGTTAAGGACCTTAAGGAGAACCAGTTGCCTGGTTTATGAAGTGTCCCGGGGAAGAAAAAGGACCAGAAAGCTAACCTGAACTTTGTTGTTTTTAACTTTGTGTTTTAATATACAGGTTAAGGGTCAGCTATAATACCCCTTATCGTTGAAGTGTGCTTTAAATCATTACTGGGGCAAGGTAGAGGGCCCCTAGGACTATCATTTCCCGCTATCAGAATGGGGCTTTAATGGTACCACCAAGTGGTGCCACAGGTGGCGGACTTATTTCAATGATTCATTTTGAAAGCATCTTTGGGTACTAGAACAAATTAAAGTAACACTAGTGAAAGGTTAAGGACCTTAAGCAGAACCCTTTGCTCGGTTTATGAAGGGTCCCGGAGAAGAAAAAGGGCCAGTAAGGTAACCTGAACTTTGTTGGTTTTCTCTCTGTGTTTTAATCTACGGGTTAAAGGTCAGCTATTATACCCCTTATCTTTGAAGTGTGCTTCAAATCATTACTGGGGCAAGGTAAGGGGTCCCTAGGATTATCATTTCCCGTTTACAGAATGGGGCTTTAGTGATACCACAAAGTGGTGCCATGGGTGGGGGGCGTATTTCAAACTTTCATTTTCAAATCTCCATTGGTCCATAGAAGAAACTAATACTGTTGAGGATCGTTGAAAAATTTTATCGGGTTCTCTTGGACTTGATGGGGGCCAGTTCAACTTTGTCGTTTATTTACACTGAATATTGAAACACGGATAAAGATCAGTTATTATAAGCCTTTTTTTAGAAGTGGATATGCATCATACCGTTAGTAGGGCATAGTAGGTTGCGTATCGGGCTATCATATGCCGATCTCAGATTAAGACTTTAGGGGAACCACCTAGTTGTTCTTTGGTTGAAATCCCTTTTTGAAGTATTTATTTTTTGCAATATTTGAACACCATAACAAATCAACACAAGGGAAGGATAAGGGATCATAGGGAGTATTCCTTTCCAGTTTTTGGAGGGTCTTTAAGACTGGACATTGCCAATATTCTGATAGAAACTTTATTTTTTTTCTTGTTCATTTTTTAAAGAAAATTTAAGATTCGTCTATTACCCCCTTATCTTTGAAGCGTGCATGAAAGCACTTTTGTGGCAGAATTGGGGGGAGGGGGGCTTATCATTTTCGCTTTTAAGTTGGAAATGTAGGGGTTCCACCAAGTGGGTTGTTTCAAGCGTTTCTCCCCCCCCCCCCTCCATCTTTAAATAATGTAACAAACCAACACTAGGCAAGGGAAAGGGATCATTGAAAGTGCGCCTTATTATGTTTTAAGAGAGTCTTTGAGGCAATTATCTCGTCCGAACATTGTCACATTTTAACATTACATTTGGAGATGAGATTGTTCATTTACTCAGGTGATTTATTGCTATATGTTTTCGTCTGTTGTCGTTTGTCGTCCGTCGTATGTTATATTTAATCATATTCAGCTTTTTCTATGTGACCTTTATATCAATTTTAATCAATTTTGATATATAGCATCTGTGAGTAAAAGGAGAGGAAAGTTGTGAATTTCATGTTCCTGGCTCTTTGGAGTTATGTCCAAGAAAAGATGTAGTTACGATATCGACAGATTATTTTTTCATAGTTTGCTACAATATTTCTTTTTTCTTGTTCGTATGTTACAATACTCAATATTTACAAAGCTTTTCTTACCGTACGTATCCACGATATCGCATTGATATTGAATCATGATTATTCAATGGATGTTGGTTACCTCCCTCAATGTTATGTTACCTGAATGCTATCATTTTCTGAAGTTCCTCCTGTAGTGTCGATATCGTCGATATCATTTCGATGTCGATTCATGTTTTCTCAAGCATTTCAAACTGCTGTCCTTGCCATAGTGTATGTATGTCTTTGTTTAAATACTTTAAATTTAGGAAGATTGTACTTGCTATCGATATTGTCAATATCGACGATATCGTATGGATATCAAATCATTTTTGACATCATTCTTGTGGCTGTATTTCTTAATGCAACAGTTCTGAGTACGTTCTTTCTGATTATTAAGTTTGCCCTAATGTCGAAATCGTACCGATATTGAATTATGATTCTGCAAACCATAATATTTTTACCAACGCTCACCCTTACCCAAAACCTTACCCTAACCCCAACCTCCTGAAAAAAAAAACCCTTGCCCTTTATTTGTCATCCTTATTTATTTATATATTTATGCCAAATAATGAATGCACATCGACATCATACTTGCGACCTTCTATAAATATGTTTCTTCCTCAATTTGGAAATAAACTGATATCAACGGTGTCGAAATAAAGTAAGTTTAATATTTATCCAGTATTTCCAATTCCATAGTAATGATCAGGATCGATAGCATTACAATATCGATGTTATATTGTCGATATCGACATCAAATTTGTTGGAACCTGAGGGGTGGGGTTCAAACTATCAAATTTAATGTAACTTTTAAAAGTCATATTTACTCCTAGACATCAAGCAGTCAGACTTAAAGCATTTATAAGATATGAGAATTACGAACAGTCAAAGCAAACAATACAAAATTGTTAGCATAGCCACAAGAACCTCTGAAAACAGAGGAGGGACCAGGTACCTTAAATGAGTGAGCATTCCCTGTCGTCCGGTCACATCCGTTGTTTGCTCTTTGTCATTATCGGGAAACTGGAGAATTCAGTAGACAATTCAGTGTAAAAGTAATGGACTTAACGAGAGATTGTAGTTGCAATCATAGCCATTGTTTCAACCATAGAATTTGCAAAATATTGTCTATAAACGAGATTCTTTATATCCTTGTATAATCAACTTATTCGTTAAATGTTTGCTTATTTTATGAATTCCAATAAGCAATGATACCTCAAAAGTAAACTGTTAAATTCATTGTCCTTAGATTTGGAGTTTTGATGTAAGAGTTTGGCTTTATAGATCATATAGGTAAAGTAATATTCTGTAAAGTCTTCTTCTCTCAGCTGTATATTTAGGAGACAAACTAAATGCACAGAAATGATAATCAAGTGTGGCTCTTCCAAAATTTTGAATTAAGGCCTCTTGGTCATGGTCATTTTGTTAGGGTGGGGCTTTATTGGTCATACATGTATAGTGAAATTGCTTCAATTCTTTGAAAATCTTCTTCTCTGTTCCTGTGTATTAAGCTGACAAACTAAGTGCATGGTTAAGAAAAGAAACA